TTTGAATGTTTTCTGTTTTGACTTTTGAGTTTTCTTTTGTATTCCCCGATGATTACTGAGCTATGCTTAATTCTAAGTTTAAATATGTTTTGATATGGATTAGAGTGCTCTATGGATTCCTGTGGGAAACCCATAGAGAAAGGCAAAATTATGTTTTGGCTTCTGAGTTTTCTATTGTGCTCCCTAAGGATTACTAAGCATGAATGTATATTTAATTGAGTTTGAATATATTTTGATAGGGATTAGAGTGCTCTATGGGTTCCTACGAGAAACCCTATGAGAAACAGAAAAAATATAAATGTTTTCTATTTTGATGTTTGAGTTTTCTATTGTGTTCTTTGATATTTGCTAAGTGTGAATATGTGTTTAATTTCAAAAACAGATAAGTTTTAAGTCATGTTTGAAGGTGCTAATAGTGTGAGAACTGCCTTATTATTATGTTAATGCAAGTGATGTGTTTCTATGAGCATGATGAGGATGAGAATCTCTTATATGTGACCTTGTGACTATGAGTATGAGAAATGTGAAATGTGAACAAGTGACATGAGACCTCATGTGATATGATAAGTGAAATGTTGAGTCCATGAGTTTGTGAATGTGTGACATGCATCATATGTATTTATGTGACAAGGTACGATATGGAGTACACCGTTAGGGAAGGTCATCTAAGAGTGAAACATCTTGGAGGAGTCCTAGGGGATAGCGCGGTTTGGAAGGCCCAGTTCTGTCTGTTTGTGTGCATGGGACATATCTCGCACGGCTTCACTATCCCGACGATACCCTAGCAGTACATCCTTCTAGTTGAGAGTTCGCGGTTGAGCCGGCATGTACTCTTAGACTACTCCAGGTATGTTGCTTCAGTAGCATACCACATAGATATGATTATGAGACACGTGACAGGTGCCACATGCATGCATTTATGAGTCGAGTCCATGACATCTTTGCATGATAAATGAATATGCATGTGATACTGATTGTGTATGTGTATTGTTTATATGTGATTTGTGCTTGTGACTTGTATTATGTTTGTTGTGTGTGTATTGTCTAACATTTACTTCTTCACCTGAACCTGAGTGAGATGTTTTCTCACTCTTTTGTTGCTCTTTGTATCTATTTAAATTGTGTTATAGGTGATCATCAGCATGATGATGTTGGTATTCATATTTAATTTTGATAACTAGTTTACTTTAGCTTGATTGTTATTTAATATCATTGGTACATTATAGTAATTGTTCATTGGTATCAATTAATGTCAATATTTATTCACTTTGTTTTTTGGTTCGTTCCTAGAGTATCCACCGCCGATAGCAATGACTAATCTCCTCGCTAGGTTGGAGGCACCTCAAAGGGTGGGATAACTGGCCCCAAGATTTAACGTGGCTGTATACACAAGGCAGGATTCGAACCCCTAACCTTGCTTAAGCGTGGATCAACCCCTACCGCTGAACCACACGCTTGGGGTTGTCAATATTTATTCACTTTATCTTTATTGTTAAGTTTTTTTGATTACTAACTACTTTACTTTGTACATTTTCTGAATTTAAATGAGATATTATATATTATATATGGTTGTATTGAATTGGACAACCACATGTTGTATTAAATTGATTGGATTGTATTTTTTATGTATAGGTTTCAAAAACTTAAAAAAAAAAAAAACTAACAAAATTAATTTTTTTTTGCAATTTCTATGGTAGATATACCTTTACCTGTCATAAAAGGTTATGATTCACAACAGATTTTCCTTACGTTGTCAAGCAGTTTTTAAATAAAAATATGCATGCAGCTACAGAACAAAGATAAATCATCCTTTGATTTTTATCTATGATACTTACAAACACTATGTATTGTCATACAGAGAACCAAAAGGGAAATTAAACCTTATAAATAATGAAATTTACTTGGTGTTCTCATGTTAGATTTTTGTCAATGTTAAAATAATATCTGATCATCAATAATCATGTCCTACAAGAACAAATTAATCATTAGTTGTCAACTTTGAAACATTGTATGAATCATATGTCTATGGATAAAAAAATCTTATAAATGAGAATTACTAACAAGTTGTGACTTAGTTGCTTTATTAAAAGTGGATGGAATTAGAAGAAACATGGTTGATAAGAGAAATCCTACTAATAGTAACAAACTATTTTTTTCAACAAAAACTAATTATCTGTGAAATTAATGAATACTTAATAATAAAAAATACATGTTTATAAAAAATTGTAAATAAGACGAATGATATTTTAATGTTTAAAAACATTTAATTATTATTATTATTATATTATGAATAAATAGTTTATATATATGTACTAACATAGTAAAAAAAATTATTTAAATAGATCACCATATAATATAAATTTTTATTTGATCTGTATATTTTACTTTTGTTTGAAAAAAAAATACATATAAACTTCATCTTCTTACGAAAATAAAATAAAATTACATCGTTATCTTTTACTGATTTTATAAAATGCAAATCAATTTAGTTCAAGAAATAAATCTTCATACTAATTATAAGTCTTAATCAACTTTAGAGGTTAATTATCGTATTTAGACTGACTACTATCAACTCGCCCATGCACAAGTAATTGCCTTGCTACGATGGCTAAGTGTGATCTAGGAGATACGGGGATAAAGAATATAATTTGCATCACTTTAATTTCATGATACTTTGGTCACAATGACTTTATCTGTTTTTGCAATTACACGAGCAACTGATATTATCTTTTGATTCATGTCATTTTATCTGTTAAATAATTAAAACAATTGTTTACAAAATATAAGGGGTAGATGCATAATTTCCAAACCTAATTCATGATTAACATAACTTCTCACTTGAGTGTCAAAGTTTTAAATATACTTCATTGCTAGAGCGAAAAGTCAAGATAGGAGAGACTTTAAGAAAATGCAGAAGTTACGTGATTTTTTCAGAAAAGTTAGATGACTTTTTTTTTTCATTTTTTTTTTCAATACTCATGGAAAATTTATTTGATATTTCAAACTACCAAGTAGTTATGGTTATGATCCTGGTTAATCTCCATATAATATATATTTAATTTTTTTAATGTATAAGAAATAATTAATATACCACCTAATAATTTCTAACTCATGTGACATTAAATATTTAATTTACTATCTATATTTAATTGTATCACCTATATTTATTTCTCCAATATGTATATTAAAAATGATTATTTTTCTAAATATGTTTATACACAAATAAAATTATTTTTTTTTAAATTGAGAGTCAACTTTAAACTAGTATTGTCTTTGTGAGTAACCTCTTCTAATCCAATCAAGTTCACTATGAATTAGACAATAAGTAGATTAAATCAATCAAATTCGCCTTTTGATAAATTTAAAAAAAATAATCCGACTTGACTAGCTACGAATTGACTAAATTAAATTAAAAAAGAATATTATTGAATTATATTATAAAAAATATAATTATAATTTTATATTTTAAAATTACAACTATATTGATAGTAGGACAAAAATATGTAAAAAAAAAAGTAAAAATAGATATCAACCATAATCAACTTAATCAATTTATAATATGACATGATGTCAAGTTGTTACATAAAATATTAACAAATAATATCAAATTGACATTATTTATCATAATTCATAATTAGTATGTAGTAAATTTAATTAATATTATAAATATATAATCACAAATTAATATTTTAAAATCTAAAAAATAAAAATAAAAGTATATCAAATAGGTCAACTCAAATCATTATAAGTTGATTTTTGAGGTCGAATTATAAATGAATTAGATTAAATTTTTGTTATAATTAAAATGGGTTAAATTTGATTTAACCCTACATAAACCTGTGATAAATCAAATTAATTCAAATGTTTTATCCCATTTCGACAATTCTAAAAATAAGTTTTAAAAATAGGTTTGTCCAGTGTTAAACTCTTATCTTTTTCTTACAAAGTAAACTTTCGGTTGTTTTGACTTAGATCATAGCATAAGAAAATTTATGCCTAATAAACACACATAAAGTTAAAACTTTATCCCTTAAAGACAAAAGAGGCTTGTTCAACCCCAAATCTTTGTTCGATTGAATGGCTATAGTTTTTCTCTATTTCGCATAAAATGTATCCTCACCAATTAACCCTTTTATTTTTCGGACATGGGTTATTGTCGGCCCAATCAGAGTCGGTTATCTTTGAACAGAAAAGGGAAAGAAAAAAAAAACCTGATTCTGTAACTAAGGGGGGTGTATTGGTTTAGGATTTCGTAGGATTTAAGGAGAAAATTAATTTCCTCTCATTTAGCTAAGTCAATCTTTATCTTTATTTCTAAGTTTGCCTTGAATTGCATATTAATTCATATCAGGTAGGTGCCCTTCCGAGGGATAACCATTCTTAAATGAAAACAATTTCTTCTTGGTCAAAGTTTGTGATAATTGGGAACTAGCAAGCAACAAATTTACAAATTGTTGGATGGAGTCAAAATATTAAGGGATCATCCTATAGTCATGCCTGCTAAACACAGTGAAATTTATTTAAAGAGGAAATGATCAACCAAGTGCTTTTGAACTTCTTTTCTGTACCTGAAAGCTTATCTCATCATATCATGCAATTTGAGTTTCTGATATTTATTTCCAATCTTTTGCTACACTGGAAATGCTCTCATTAGAATAAACAACTTGCAGAGACAATCTACAGTTCATTTTTGATCCCCCTCTATCTCGTAGGTCATGAATTCTTCAAATTTCTTCTTGAATAGACTTGCTAGTTTCAAGTTTCAAGAGTGTATCTCGGCAGACCACCGCAATGCAATTTAATTTAAGTAAAAGTTAATAAGAGTGCAATCATACCAAATTTTAACACCAGTGGCCAGAAAACAATGTCACACAGCCTACCAGTAAGCCCCATATTGTTGTGATGAATTGCGTGCAATGAGAACATCCATTGGCCGTTAATATGAGTGTTGTGTTGCTTCTTACCAAAATCACGGTGAATAGTTAACAAAATTGAAGTAATTATTTGTAATTTTAACCTTCAACGTGATTTTATAATTAATTTAAAAAATTGAAATCTAATCCAATATAAGCAAGCCTTTTTCCTATTTCTCTTCCCTTATTTTGGATATGCATAAAGCTAATCATCATCCTCATCTTCATCCAAACACGGTCTCTATGTCTACGTCACCGTATCACATCACTGAAAGACATAACCACGTCACCCACAATCCACGTATACACATTTTCGTCGCACTCGTCTCATTTCCTATCACACACATGACACATCCTTCCAGCTGGGCGAGCAGCAATCGGGTGACGCACTCCCCACGGTAAAACCATGCACCCTCGCGGCGAAAAACCAAAAACCCTAACTACGAATCGGAGAAAATCGACGGAGACTGGCGAAACAGATCGTAGGGCGCCCAAAGGCCATCCAACGGACAAGGCTTCTTGGAATCGATTCGGAGCCACGGCTTCCCCTTGCCGCTCCAGTGGAGGAGACTCACCGGACCGGGATGCAGGTCGCGGCAAAGCCCTTCGAGATTGTCGCCGCCGAGGCCGTGCTGGTTCCACCGGTGCGCCACGCGCTCTACGTCGCCGGCGAAGACGAGGAGGAACGGCGGCAACGATCCGAGCTCGTAGATCCTGTTCCGCTTCTGGATCCGCATCCACGTCTCGAGCTTCTCCGTGTAGCGTCCCTCGCGCCACTTCCACAGATCGATCACCATCACGCCGGTGTTGAAGTAGCAGGCGGCGCGTCCCTTAAACGACGCCGCGTAGGCAGGGGTCGACCAGAAGCGGTGCGTGAAGTAGTTCGTGAAGTTGGCGTGACAGTACTCCGGCGCTCCGAGCACGCGCGCGTGGAGGTCGATGCTCCACAGCTTCGCCACGTCATCGACGACGATCAGGTTTATTATTTTTATCTTTGACTCTTTTTAAATTTGAATGCATGAATTTTTTTTTAAATCTTATCAAATTTTAAAACTTCACAAAATCCCACAGAATCCATTAAAATCCTGATTTAAAAGTCTTGTAGAATCCATTAAAATCCTGATTTTAAATCTTGTAGAATCCTGCAAAATCTTAAAAGTCATAAAAATCCTGCAAAGTCTTTTAAAATCCGCAGGATTTTTTTTCACTAAAAAAGTCCTTTAAAATCCTAATCCAATACACCCTCCTAAAACTAAACCAAATTTTAGATTTAGCTCGTTCCAATGGAATGATTTTAATAAAATTAACTTATAAGTTAATTAAGCTGAAAAGTTGAAAACTTATTACATAATTAACTGAACAGAAAATGTTTAATAAAATTAGCTAGTTATTAAATATAAAATGATATGAAATGATTTTTTAATAATAAAAGTGAGAGAATGACAAGATAATTTTTTTATAAATTAAAAATTATATAAATATATTTTAAATAAGTTAATTAGGATAAAAAACCAACTATAAACTACTTTAATTAGCTTATAAAAATAAGTTATAAGTTTATAAAAAAAATTCATACGAATTAATTTTATTTAGATTAAACTAATTTATAATGTAAATGTTTTATCAAATATACTTTTATTTTAAGGACTACTTATGTGAGAAAAAGTAACACTTGAATGACCAAATGAATCGCGTTTATTCTAAATGGTACAACTTAAAAGAATAAATTGATGAAACTGTTTGAGAAGGATATTTGAGTGACTAAATTAATGGTTTATTCTTTTTGATTTTATGATATTTCAAATTACGAATTCTTATACCAAATTACAGGTTGTGCATAGTTGAAGTAGCTGGCTAGATAGTGCATACGCCAAGATGAACAATTCTTTTAGATAGCATGAGTAAACAAATGGAGAAGAACAATGATAGGCCAAGAAGTAGGCTGAATCTTGGGATGCACCCAATGGCACATACATAAATGGAAAGAAGGTAATTTCAAGCAAAAGACTTCCCAACAAAAATCATAATCATAATTTGAAACAAAAACATGTCTATTAGAAAGGTCCTGAGAAAGACATTTGTTCAGGCATGTCTCATTGGCTTTTGTAAAGCAGACATAAATGCTTAAGTCATAAGGCTGAAGAAGAAAAGAGTGATGGTACTATATACAGATGTTAGGGTTTGATAGACTATAGCAAACGTTGGACTCATACCAAGGCAAGACTGTCGGTTCTATTTACAGATGTTGGGCTTTCATAGCATATATATGCCACAACTTGGACTATATTTCTGAATCAACTTGCCTTATGAAACTCATGGTTGCCCATTTTCTCATTCTTTTTAACTTTATTGTATCTTCTTTTTCCTAAAATAGGAAAATTTATTCTTGGTCTTGACAATTGAAGATAATCACTCCAAGCAATATATTGTTAATTATTTCTTACCAAACGTTTTAGGTGGCTTAAAATCAAAATTAAAGGTGGTGCCTGTGTATATATTTACGACAAAATCAAATGACACCAGAAGCCAAAGTTAGTAAAATAATTTTTCAATTTTTATTTATTAAAATTCAATTTTATGAATCTAATTGTTGGTCCACATGATATTATTATGATGCTCATATACATAAAAATTCCCACAAAATATAGATATATAATATCTATTAGTAGCTATTTATAATATATATATACAGGCGAATGTTAATATACTCTCACCTATTTTTTAGTGAGAGTATGTTAGTAATTTACACCAAAATTTTAGGACAAAAAAATTACTCATTTATTTTGATTTGGTTAATTTATATAAAATATATTATAGTAATTTAATTTAATTTTAAGTGAAAATTAAATATTTTATTTCTCTTATTAATTTCTTTCACCAAGTCATTTCTCTCTCCTATTAAATTCCTTCTCCAACCTATTTCTCTTTCCTATTAAATTATTTTTCTAATTTATTTATCTCTCTCCTATTAAATTCCTTTTTTAACTCATTTCTCTCTCATCTCTCATGATGCCTCCCCCATCTCTCTGAACAAATAAAAATTAATTAATAGAAAAAATAAATGAATTGGTGAGAGTTAAAAAAGGAATTTAATAGGAGAGAGATAAATAAATTAGAAAAATAATTTAATAGAAAAGATAAATAGGTTGGAGAAGGAATTTAATAGAAAAAATAAATGAATTGGTGAAATAAATTAATAAGAGAAAGAAAATATTTAATTTTCTTTTAAAATTAAATTAAATTACTATAATATCATTTATACAAATTAACCAAATTAAAAGAAATGAATGATTTTTTTGTCCTAAAATTTTGGTGTAGGTTGCTAACATACTCCCACTAAAATATAGGTGAGAGTATATTGGCATTTCTCATATATATATATATATATATATATTAGTTTTAATATATATAAATTTATTTTTGTTTTAGTCATCTTAAATATTTTTTCTTATTTTGTTCTCTCTTTTTAGTCTTATTAATAAGTTACAGGTTAGGAGTTGAAAAATTGAAAATTTATAAATTAATTGATTATATTAAAGTGTTTGGTAAAATAAACTAATTAGTTAATATAAAATGATATGTTTATTTATCTAATAACGAAAGTAAGAGAATAATATTAGAAAATAGTTTTTAAATTAAAAGAGTAAAACAATATTTCAAGTAAATTAATGAAAATAAAAAATAAAGATAAAAAAAAGAAATTAAGAACTTATAAATTATAAATTGTTTCAATTCACTTATATAAATATCTTATAAACTCTTATAATAAGTTTTTATACTAAATAAATTTATTTTGATTAAATTAACTTATAAGTTGAGGAACTAAGTTTTTAAGTTTTTCACATAATTGGTCAAATACGTTCTACATCACTGTAAAATAATGATGTGATTAACAAGTATTAGAAAATAAGACCGAAAATTTCTTAAATAATAAAAAATAAAATCAAAATGATTCGATAAAAGAAAAACTTATTTAAAAAATATCAATACATATAGCGACAATATCATTAGAGATTAAAATAAAATAATTAAAAAAAATTATGAAGAACAAAACAAATACTACCTTGTGTGTAAGGAGAAAAACTTAACTTTAACCTGGTTATATATTAAATAATAATAATACATCATACAATAAAATGAAGTTGAACAGTAGAATATTGGTTAATTTTCTAATTCTGTGTACACGAACTTTAACTTTATAGAGTAAATTAATAAAATTCACCTATGGAAAAAATTTAAAAATCTCTATACTAAACAAACTTATTTTTATCGAACTACTTGCGAGGTTTTTAAAAAAAAAAAAAAAAAAAAAAAAAAAAAAAACACACACAATGTATGGATGGTGAATGTAAATTATGTAACTAACAGTTGCATTTTTGTTTTTTTGAAGTCGAGAAAAAAAGAAAAAAGAAAAAAGAATGGAAGTGAGGAGTGTGGATAAAGCGTGGCCAATGAGGAGGCAGAGAGACTCATAAACTGATACATACCATTTTTGTAGTGAGAAGAGGCAGAAGAGGAGGGTCAACAATTCCTCTATTTTCCCTTACCTCTCTCTCTTCAATTCAATTCAATTCTCATTTCCCTTTCCCTCTCTATTCTAGGGTTAGGGTTCTCACACCGCAATGGCCCTTTCCACCTCCTTCTCCGCTGCCAAATTGGACTCTCTATTGCTCAATTGCTCTTCCTCTTCAACCCCATTCTTACACACCGTTTCTATCGCCCAAAATACGAGAACAAAAACCCTCTTTCAGAGAGGGCTTATTCGCTGCGACGCTCAGCCCTCTTATGCTCCCAATAATGCTTCCACCCTCTCCGCTCTCCAGCAGCTTAAGACTTCTGCAGCTGATAGTAAGTCCTCTTCAATGCCTATTTTCTCTCCGTAATTGCGCCCAATTTTCTTATTTTCATTTCATTACTCTTTCATCTAAATGCAGAATAGTATTCGCTGCTTTACCTTGAATTGTATCATCACTGTTTGATTGGTATTCGAGAACGTCTTTTGCGCAGTAAATTTCCCCTTTTTATTCTTATTTTTTTGTCACGGGTGATTTTGAAGTTGTTTGCTTCGCTCAAGGAGATATATTTCTGTTCGTTATGTTTCTCTTGTCTGTTTCAAATTTGTTTTGCAGTGTTGTCATTTACTTATCCTTTCTGTTTGTGTTGATAAAATAAAAATAAAAATTAAGGCAGTTGGAATGTTCCGATTCCAAGTGATTGAGCTTTTGTGCTCCTTGACTGGAATTGTACATCTAAACTATATAATGGAAGGCGGGATTACGTGGCTTTCCTTGGTTGATTTGTAATTGCACCGGTTAATTGTCTGAAACTTGCTAGTTGCAACTTCTAAATAATTCGTGCAATTAACTTTGACAGGGTATACAAAGGAAAGGAGCAGCATTGTTGTCATTGGGCTTAGTGTGCACACTGCACCTGTGGAAATGCGTGAAAAGCTTGCCATTCCAGAGGCAGAATGGCCTAGAGCTATTGCAGAGCTCTGTAGTCTTAATCATATTGAAGAAGCAGCTGTTCTGAGCACCTGCAACCGAATGGAGATATATGTTCTTGCTCTTTCCCAACATCGTGGTGTCAAAGAAGTCATGGAATGGATGTCAAAAGTAAGTGTCAAGTTTACTATACAAATGGTTTTTTTAGTGAATACTAAATATTTAACATCCTTGTTATTTTTTTCAGACAAGTTCCGTCCCTATTTCTGAGCTTTGCCAGCACCAGTTTGTACTTTACAACAATGATGTCACACAGCATCTTTTTGAAGTATCAGCAGGTCTTGATTCTCTTGTTTTGGGGGAAGGTCAAATCCTTGCTCAGGTTAAGCAAGTTGTCAAAGTTGGACAAGGAGTTAATGGCTTTGGGAGAAATATCAGTGGGCTATTCAAGCATGCGATTACTGTTGGGAAAAGGGTTAGAACTGAAACTAATATTGCTTCTGGGGCAGTTTCTGTGAGCTCAGCTGCTGTTGAATTAGCCTATATGAAGCTACCTGAAGCCTCACATGATAATGCGAGGATGTTGGTTATTGGTGCTGGCAAGATGGGAAAGCTTGTGATCAAACATTTGGTGGCAAAAGGTTGCAAAAAGATGGTTGTTGTCAATAGAACTGAGGAGAGAGTGGCTGCAATACGTGAAGAACTGAAAGATGTTGAGATCATCTACAAACCCCTTTCAGAAATGCTAACCTGTGCCAGTGAAGCAGATGTAGTTTTCACCAGTACTGCATCGGAAAACCCATTATTCTTGAAAGATCATGTCAAGGACCTTTCTCCTGCAAGTCAAGATGTTGGAGGCCGTCGCTTTTTCATTGATATCTCTGTTCCCCGCAATGTGGGTTCATGTGTCTCAGACCTGGAGTCTGTGCGAGTTTACAATGTTGATGATCTTAAGGAGGTTGTGGCTGCCAATAAAGAGGATCGCCTAAGAAAAGCAATGGAAGCGCAGGCAATAATAGCTGAAGAATCTAAGCAATTTGAAGCTTGGAGGGACTCACTGGAAACTGTCCCGACTATTAAGAAATTGAGGGCTTATGCCGAAAGAATCAGGCTTGCTGAGCTTGAGAAATGCTTAGGTAAGATGGGTGATGATCTGCCAAAGAAAACACGGAGAGCAGTGGATGATCTTAGTCGGGGTATAGTGAATAAGTTGCTCCATGGTCCAATGCAACATTTAAGGTGTGACGGGAATGACAGCCGGACTCTTAGTGAGACCCTGGAGAATATGCATGCTTTGAATAGGATGTTCAACCTTGAGACTGAAATATCTGTTTTGGAGCAGAAGATTCGAGCAAAGGTGGAACAAAACCAAAAATGAAATCCATCACCAATTTCATTGATCAAACTGATTTATTTTCTCCGTTAGAATAAGAGGAAACATCCTCATCTTTTAGGATTAGTAATCCTGTAATATTTAGTTGCATAGTTGAAGCAGCTGAAGTCTCCATGGTTCGTGCGTCTGCTTGGCCTAACTCGTTTGCGTTTTCGGGTCATGTGTTTTCACCGTGTTCTTCCACAGCCATATCTGGCTTTGTATTATACCAATTGAAGTGTTTTGGCGAGCTTTGTATTTACCCCAAATAATATTTTTCTAAGATGTGTCCCCTTATCGGAAAAATTAAATGTATGTACTGAGATTCTATACTAGAGACAAGATTGATTTTGCTGTGGCACTGGTTTATCAGATGTCTCCGAAGGGAATTCTTGGTACAGGTTTATTCACTGTGTGGTTGCTCACCTTTTAAATGTTTAAGATTTTGTATTTGTCTACAACCACAAGCATGATTCTCGGGTGTCTTTCTTGTGATGTACACGTTTAGAATAGTAATACCGACTTTAACGACGGATTATGAAAAAGGGCTATACAGTTATTTTAATTTTTACCTCTACTAAAGTGGTGAAATTCGAAAATTGATTAAAGTGAGCAGAGATACGTTAAAAAGGAAACCCAAGTAAAAAAGCTAAAAAGATAAATTACTCTATTGGTCTATTGACAGATAGATCTAATACATATCTTAAATGAACGAGAAATGCCAATGAAATCTAATACAGTTGATTGATAGTTGTGTTCAATAAGCATGGTGCTAGAATTTTAATATAAAATGCTAGAATAATAAATGAGAGAAATTAATCATTAGTAGAGGTATCAAATAAGTTGGATTGGCATGACCTAACTTGATTTACATGGATTATATGTTATTTTAGGTTAAGTTAATTTGACCTATATTTTTTTTATTGTAATTTTTTGGCCCAACTTGGTTCATGTTGGGTTGTTTGGTCAAATTGGTCTAATTAAAAAAATATATTTTAAAAGATTAAATTTATTTTTTATAATAAAAAATTTATAATATGATTAATTAATCTTATATATTGTCACCAAATACATAATGATTTTTTAAGTATTTAATTTTTTACAATCATTACATTAGTATTTATTCATCCCATCAACTAAATCAACCTCTTCATAATAATTTCATACCTTAGAAATATTAGACTAAATTTTGTTAGTCTTTTTAGTATCTTAGTCATTAATATCGCTACTTTTACTCTTATTATCAATAGTAGTAGCATCAGTAGAATCTTTCTTTGTGTTAGATGAAGTTTCTATTATATATATAAATCATCCTCCATACTATATGTCATCAACATTCATGACTACAAAATTCAAAATTATACAGGTTTACTAATTTTATTCACAGTTCCCACAATAGATTATAAAGTAAGAATAAGTCAACATAATTCTTAGTTTAGTTCACAAATAACAACAACAATCAATAAAACAACACCAAACAGTAAAACAACAATAAGCCAAAATTTAGTTCACACGACATAGATCTTAAAAAAAGATATACTTAATATTTGGTTGAAGTTGGAAGCAAGAGGTAACACTAACAACAAGCAATAAAGCAACAAATAATAACATGACTTTGTGAGCACAAACACAAGCATGGTTCCGTCTAACAAAGATGGTGGATTACGGAATCAAGTCATCAAGAACACAATAAAAGTGGCGAAACTCTCACAACAATTAACCTTAACTTTAAACTTGTAATCACAATTTTGTAAGCAAATACCAAAAAGTGAAAGATTATTACTATTATTGTATTATATTTTATTCTATTTATTTTAAACACATTATAGATTTATAGATTGATGTTAGTTTAGATTATTTCACTTATTAGTTTAATAAGTCAATTCAACTTGAGTTCATTTAGTTTGTAAAGCTTAATGAGTTAGGCTAATATGACCTAGTTCTATTTAGGTCATCCTTTTAAGATATAAGCTAACCTTATTTGCGAGCTAGTCGAACCAACTCATCAAATTATTCCCAAATTAAAAATTCTAATCATTAAATTGATAACAAATAAAAAAAGGGAGTTGAAAATAATTTTATATAAATAAAGATATTAATTATAATTTTTAATTTGTTCATTGTTACTATAAAAAACATCAGAAAAAAAAAGTAGCATATTCTTTATGGTATAGAATATTTATTGTTTAAACTAATTTTATAATAATGAATAAAGTTATTAAATAACTTTAACTACACAAAATATAATTGTATTTTTCTAAATTATCTATTGAAATATTTAAAATACCATTGTTTTATTAATTTCTTTTTCACTTTATTTAGTGAAAATCCGGCAACCCCCTCCTTCTCCACCGTTCTTTTGGGTCGATGGGGCTAGATAGAGAAGTCCATTATGGTAGCCCAACGTACTTATTTTTTTCTACTAACATAGCAATACAACTAAGTTGGCTCAACTGTTTTTTTTTTCTTTTGTTTGATGGCCCGAACCAAATCAATAGGATATGACTTTCATGCACATTTTCATTATTCCAACTGTTATTACTTTGTTTTATCTTATAAGCACTAAAATTAGATTTTAAATATTTTTTATTCTATATTTTTTTTCTTCTTATTACATAAAGTTTATATTAAAAGAAGATATGCTTCTTTGTAAGACTAGGAAAGATCACCAACATTAACAAGAATTTATAGTGAAACTTACGTATCATCAACTAACTAGGAAATTTTGAGTCAAATCTAACTAACGGCTAGTGTGAGCGGAAGACTCAAGCAGATGTGCCAACTCCTGTTGTCAATTTTGATTTTAGATTGATTTTGAATTGTTGAAAAAAATTAAAAATATTTGAAAATTTAATTTTTTCAAAACATTTTATTTTAAAATTTTATTATAATTAGACCTGATAGACTAATTTGATTAGGTTGGTTTGAATCATGTTTGATAAAGAAAATTATCAAAATCAAATTAAAGCGAACCAAAGAAATTTGATTATAAAACTGAATCAAGGCAACCCCAATAAACTGAACATTCATTACAAGGCATACTTGTTCAAATAATGTTTAGTTTGTATTCTTGTGACCACTTAAGTATCATTTTCCCATGCCAAGTTTGAGGAAGAGAAAAATTGGAACCATTCTATCCTAAGTCCCAACAATGAGAAGTGAATTATAGCACTCTCACAATTTGTAATGTTTTTTCACATACATTAAGATAAAAATTGCGGTTAAACTAATAAATTACTATACTATAATGCTTTTATCCTAAAATTTATTTTAAAATATTATACTATTTAAATAAATCATTTGTGACTTGAATATTATGAAATATAATCAAGCTTAATAAATTGTTTGATGACAGTATTATGATTATTTATAAATATTTCAAATTATTAAAAGATCATGATATCTAAGTATCTAACTGTACCGTAAGATCGGTAGGATTCCGATCTCCTCTACCTATTGAGAGAGCTCGGTCAGAATTCGAGCTGGAGTCTATCTCAAGAACAGCTAAGCCCTTGCACCTTTTAGGCTTAGGACTGGAAGGCAACTGTACCGTCTCGGTCGGATACCGACCGATCACCCTTCATAGGTTCTAATCCAATAACCCTTGAATATGGGTCTTCTCGGTCGACGGATGATCTAACCTCCCACGTGGGAAAGATCAGTCGGACCTCGATCTCACTCACCACCTGAACGAGCTTGGCCTGGGCGAGCTCGGCTAGGGTGAGCTCAGCCAGGGGGTGGTCGGCCAGGGTCCGAGTGGGTCTCACCTCTTGTGCTGATCCGAGAATTAAGGATGAAAATCCTATCTTTTGATAATCAAATATTCTTAAGAAAAATCGTTATGGAAATCCTCGCGCTCATAAGGTCCAAGAGGCCCATGAGCAAGAAAGTATAAAACCTAAAACCCTAGAGTTAAGAAAGCATATTATACTTTTGAATGCTCTGGCTCTAAGGCTTAATTTAGGAAGAAACCCTAGTCCACCCTTTGGCCGGAACAATAACATATTTTTTTTTAAAGAAAATTAACTTTAAATTATTAAATGTTTGCTAGTTGCTCACGGACATCACAGCCTGGATTGTAAAATGTAAATGGTATTCCCCTGTCCTCTTGTTTTCAGGGTGAAGAGTGTGTGTTTTCCATTTTGGGTCCATGCTTGAAGAAATTAACCATTTGAATTGTGAAAACGTGGAAGAATTGAAAAGCAATGCCACAAAAATGCGGCTCCATCATGTCCTGTGCATAGAGAACGATGGTCCCCCCTACAATACCACGTGAATTCAGACACCAAATACACCTATTTGTTTTTATCTTTATAATATGGCTGCATTTCACCACTTCTTTCATATTAGCTAGCATAAAATATAATAATATTTTATTGGTTACGAAAAATACACTAATAGCAAACCCTCTTATATATAATATATATCCTTTTAATTTATTTTCAAAGAACATAGTGAACAAAAAAACTGAATACATTTATTATATCTTGAAATCAAAAGAACATGTAATAACAGTTTCAGCTTTTAGCTAGCTAGTAATTAATCAGGAAGATTAATAAATAAATAAAAAAAAATGTATGAGGTCCACAAAGAGGTTAACATGTTTTCGTTACCATGTAGGAGTTATTTATTGAAACATATTTATACGTTAAGTACTTTAAATAGTTATAGTTATATTCTTTTTTGGGAACAATATAATTGCCTTAGTTGAAAACAAAAGTTTTGGTTAGTACTAGTAGCCCATGGCATTGGCAGGGCTTATTAAAAGCGCAACACAAACTGACATAAGAAGCACGCTACGTTGTGAGGCCCAGACCATAGCTGTTAAAAATGTAGATGCCTACAGCATTCTTGTTTATGTGGCATCTACGAGAGACTCCTATTAACACTACCGAGAATAAAACCCTAAGGCCAACAACAATAAGGCCTGATAATGATGGATTGGACAATTGAGACACTTAATTGGGCTCCACCCCTGACATCTCTGTTCAGGATCCTCCTTTGATGCTAACTAACTCAACATGGCCCTCTCACCAAGCCTATGCCAATGTCTACTTCCGAGCCCACCAAGTAGCTGGAAATTTGTTGTCAAACGGACCAAGATAAGCTTCTTGATAGGGACCATTCTAAGAGACTTATGAATATTGCTACCAATTCACAGAGCCGTATTTATATTATCAACACCCTATAGCCTCTATTCACGCTTAGGCCTTGTAAATTTGGAGTCCGCACCTATCCCTTTTTTCAGCTTGTTGGAAAATCATTTTACAATTTTCAAGTTACAAATTTGTATCGTACTAGTACAATTTGTTGATCCACAATTATAAATATAGTCGAGTATAAAATTCACTACCAATTTGAGTCTGTAAGATGGTGTTTTTCAGTTCTGTTTCCACATCCTCATGGTACGTACTACTTACCCAAAGCAAAAACAAATTCACTACCCAATTGTACAAGAGTATTGATCTTTGGATACTCTGCCTTTTTAAACACTTAATTAATACTTATCATTTCTTCTTCCTCTTCCTATTAAGTGTTCAAACATCACTTTTTTGATAAATATATTGTCAAGTATAAGAGCAAGATACGTAGCCAAAACATGCATAAATTTTCCGTCTCACGTACGAGGATTAGGTTTGCCTCTTGTAACTAGGATATGATAGTGTTTGCTTGGGAAATCTCATTTCCCACGAATGAGGAGCTATTTCCCCCCTCCTTTCACCATCTTGAAAGGCACAGTATTTTTAATTTTTCACGAAGCACAGTATTAGGCTTATGATTGATTGCATCTAACTTTGGGCCCCTTGAAATGTTATTTCTGAATTGGCGAGGTAAGGTAGTCGGATAAAAGATGAAAAACTGAAAAAGCATGTCATGTTGCGATGGAATGTAATCATTTGTTCATGATTAAGTTCTGTCTTGTGCCATGTTTTTCATTCAAAAGATCATTTTAGCCCCGTTCGTGGTCCGGTACATAATTATTAGCCGCACAAAGGCAGTAGATTAAAACGAGAATATCGACTTGGGAAAAGCGAAGCATAAAGAGAAAAAGAGAGGCTTTATAAATTACTACTAGAATGGCATGTACAAGTTTGTAGGGTTTGATATGATGAAGATGGAGCAGTCCAAGTGGAGTGTTCTGGGCTCTGATCTTGAAAAGCAAATGATTAAAATTGAAAAACAAGAGCGTATGTAAAAGGCACAAGACAAAAAGACATGATCGAGGAAGGGACCAACGAAATTAGGGTGGGGCATACCCCATTCTATAACTCCTTTCTCTGTAGTCATCTTCCAATGCAGAAAGGGCCGCGCCGTCTGCTACCACCTTGTCCCCATTCCCTTCCTCTATCATGCCCCATCCCCATTTGTTTTCTTCTCTCTCTCACTATTACATCTCTACATTTTATAATAATAATTAAAACCTAGCGTTTTCGAAGCCGTGCAAGTCGCTGACTCTATTCAAAGACTTCTTCATCATTGCCATCTTAGCCAGCTTCTCGGCGGGTCTCCAAGCCGACGTCGGCGTAAGCGGCTCGCCATTCTCATCCACCAGCGTCACCTCTCTTCTCCGCTGCTCATGCTGTCTCCGCCAATGAAGCTCTGCCAGCTCAGCCTCCAGGCCGCGAATGTATTCCTCAGCCGAAGCAGAACTATTCTGCATGAGAAGCGCACGCGCCGAGGCAAGCAAATGATGAGCGCTGCTGAAGTCAGCGTTATGATCCACGAGCCTCCTAGACTCGGCGATGGCTCGGCTTGTTATGAACAGATTCCTGAGCCTCTGAATTCTAGTACCGGAACAACGCACGCTCTGCGGCGGCGGCACCACAAGTCCCTGTTCCCTACCGTATACAATCTCCTGACTGGCAGGGTCCTTATACAGGCACCGTACCGTCATCACGTGATGGCTTCCACTCCCACTTCCCGACGCCGGAACTCTCACTCTCAACTCCACTAGGAGCTCCCTCTCTTCCTCCGCGTACAAATCGCCAAGACGCACGTATATTTTTTTAGTTTCCCTCCTAAATCCTAAATCCTAAGAGTGAAATTACTTTTTCCTAAGGTGAAAGGTGAAAGATGAACTCGGTGAAAGGTGCGGTGCTCCCTCTCTTCCTCCGCGTACAAATCGCCAAGACGCACGGCGCCTGAACTCATCAGCGTGGGCCTTCCACTGCACGAGTAAATCGCGCTCATCTCCACCGTCTCAGACTCCAACTCCACCTGAATCCTCAAATCCTGCACCACCATGCTCAAAACGGTAACCGCTTCCTCACACCTGCGCATCGCGCGCTTTAGCATATGGAGTTTCGCGCCGCTCATGCTAAAATAACTCTTATAAATTTTGATGATTGATATATTTCCCACCTGAATCCTCAAATCCTGCACCACCACGCTCAAAACCCCACCTACACACTTGGCAAATGCATCCTCATCCCCCCCCGCTTCCTCACTGTAACCGCTTTTCGCCCCCAACCCAAACGCGTGAACCGGAATCTCGATATGCGCGAACCGGGTTGAGGACACGTGGCTCCACGCCTTCCGTTGATTATTATTATTATTACCTCTCTGATTTTGAACCCTCTCTTCCTGGCCGTCGGATAACAGCATAACGCTGGCCACCGGGTTTCTCTCTCTACGATCCTCCAACACTCTGGTGGCTTTCCTCAGCGCGTCCCCTACGCTGGAGCCTTGACCGATGACGAGCCGGTCGACGATGCGCCGAGCCACGCGCTGCCCTTGAGCCGTCATTCTTCGCAACGGTAAGAGGCGTTTCGAGCTGGCGGAGAAAGCCACTATGGAGAGCCTGTCAGCGGGGCCAAGCGATGAGATAACCAAACGCATCGCGCGCTTTAGCATATGGAGCTTCGCGCCGCTCATGCTTCCTCCCACGTCCAGAACGGTCACCAGATCTATCGGCGCGCGCTGCGACGGAGCCCCGCTGTTTCTATTTGGAGGCGGCGGCGGTGGAGCCTTCACTTTTAAGACCAGAGCGTAGGTCTCGTGAGTTCGGGAGGCTGATATGATTGCGCACTCTGGCATGAGTTTCACCTGGACCGTTCTGGAGTCACCGTCGCTGCTTTGGAAGGAATCGGAGTAGGACTTTGATGAGGATGAGTTCTTGGGATGGACGAAGAAGCCTTGAAACTCGCCGGCGTCTTCGTCGTCGTCGTCGTCGTCTTCGGCATTCTCGTCGGCTTCGGGAATGGGAATAATCCGGGCGGCGGAGGCGGGAGAGAGGAGAGGCTCGTCGTCGTGGTAGGACCTGAGCGAATCGGAGTGCTTGGGTGGCTCCACGTGGGTGTTGGTGGAGGAGTTTTCTGATGGCTTTTTGTCGCTTGCATTGAGGGTTCTCTGAGCGACGTCGTTTTGCGTGGCGGATTGTGGCGCGAGGTTCTTGTGAGGCGCGAGTAGAGGCACGTCTTTCCACGTGGCGTTGCACACGGGACACACGAGGCTACCGTGTTTGCGTACATGCGCTGCGATACACGGGAAATGAAACGCGTGACCGCATTCCGCAGTGTAAATCGCCGTACCCTGTCCCGTCTTCACGCTGCTCAAGCAAATTCCACAGCTACTCTGCTCAACCAAAACATAATTAATTAATAATTGATATTTGATAATAATCTACACATCGGAAACTTACCCTGAATTTGAAGCTGTTCTTGAAGAGGGAGAGCTTGAGAGGGGAGCGCGGAGAAGTTGGATTTGAAACCGAGTGTGTTTTGGGGGACTTGGCTGCTCTAGGGGTGGTTTTGCTTTGAACTCTGGGGCTTTCGTTTACTGTTTGAGAAGCAGTTTCCACGGTGGTCGTGCAACGCAAGCGTGGAGTGGAGGGGTTGCTACCTCCGGAGAGAAAGCCCAATCGGGCGCAGCTTCTTGGGCTGGGGCTTGGGCTTGGGCTTCCGGGCTGCTTATCTGATATGGTAGAGGCAGGGTCGCGGGTGCAGAAAGCTCTTCTCCAACCAGTGCCCATGTTTACAACAAGAGTGAGAGAGGAATACAGCCTATCTTATTATGCTTTGTTTGTTGGAAGAGGATAACGGAAAAACAAGTTTTGTTTGTTTTGATCGATCACAGGGAGAGGGCTAGAGGGAATAATAAAGCTAAAGCGATTGAATCGGATAAAAATGAGATGCAGGGTTCTTTCATTTATATTGAGAAACGCAAAAGATCTCTGCAATTAAACGCCTTGAGAGAGATCTGACGCTATTTTTCTCTCTCTGCCTGTCTCTATATGTGTTATTTGTACAAAAAGGAAAGCCTTTCTTCGTCTGCATATTTATATATGTCCTCGTGATTTACTACTCACGCCAATTACTACTCCTAATCTTCCAGTAATAATTAAACAAATCAAGCCTAAATCAAACATTTACTTCACATTTCACCACGTTAACTGCCACCTCCTACTTGCCGCTTTTTCTAACATTCTCACTAATCATTAATCATCCGCCTCATTCATTAAATTATTTCTCTATTTTTAGCACAATTATTTAATAACTCAACAATTTTATATTACTCCTCATGTCAATAATTAATTCCTTAATATCAACCAAAATTATTAACAAGTTAATTCAATGAATGCTATTCTTTGACTTCCGTTTAAGTGGTGGTTACATCTAGTAAAACTATATTTAATTCAAGGAATAGTTTTCTCAACATGATTCGTATAGTTAATTGATCCACAAATCCATCTATTTCTATGAGAAATTAGTAGGTCTTTCATTAATAAATTTCACATGAAAGAAATTATAAAAAAAAAAGAGAGTAATATATTTGATTTCTTTTAATAAGATTTAAGTCAAAACTGTTTTTTCTGCATTAAAAAAAAGTCAAAAGTGCTGTTGTTTTTTTTATTATAAAACCTAAACTAAAATGTGTTTTGTATTAAAATTGTTTACAATGATTATTTTTAATTAAATTTATTTCTCTTGATTAAATAAATAGTCATAGTGAATTCTGGATCCAACTTTTATTAAATGTCACGTGTTATTATTATTATTTTTTTTATCAAAAGTTGTTTATTTTAATGTTATCAATTAAATTACTCAATTTTTTCAATCATGAATAGGATTCTTATAAAAAAAATTCAATAGGGAGTAGCAATGAATGCTCTTAACTGAGTTTATTTTTCTTTATAATTAGGAAAACAAAACAAATATTTTTTATATGTCGTTTATAAATTTCAAAATATAATCAATTAGCTAGGTAGAAAAGTAGTACTTATTAGCACCTTATATAAAGGATTATATGAAACTACTTTTCTAAAAAAATAATTTAATAAAAATGTTAACTTCAGAAGATAAAAAATTTTAATACCTAACTATATAAGTAATTCAAATATGTATTATTTGAACCATTGATTTTATCTCGATTTGAATTTGAAATATATACAATTTTGTTCTCTTAATATTTTTAAAATATTTAGGTCCGATAGCGTTTTAATACCAAATAAAAAAATAACCTTGTCTTCAAACTCTAACCTTATTTATATCCATTTTTTTAAATATTAATAAAAAATACTTCTTTCTTACTTTTTATAACATCTCCGAAAATTATTATTAGGTCTTTCTTCTAAGAACTAATCTTAAATGTTTCTTGCATTAATTATATTTTAAATTAAATATTATTAATTAAAGTCATTTACTCTAACTCATTAATGTCATTTACTCTAACTCACTAACTAGTTGATAAAGTAATTAAGGATCTCATTAATATTAGCGATACTTTTTGAAAATATAAATTTATTATAAACTTAAACTAAACTAGACGAGTTTCTACATCATAGTAAATTAGATAATTTGGTTTTATAAAAGGGATAGGAGAGAATAATTAGAGTTGTTGATAAATGAAAATTAATGAAAGGACCAATTCATTTTATTTTAAAACAGAAAAATTATTTTACCTTAGAAAACCTCAAGATTAAAATCATATGAATCCAAGCACGATTATGAAGATAAGAAGAGTTGCAAATAACTCGTTCACATCCCTGTATTTTTACGTCTCGACCAAAATGGTCTTATTTCTTTAGCAAATATTTGTTTTATTCCCCTGTTATCTTATTTTATTCGTTACAGGGATTATCTAAACAAAAATCATACTTGTTTTTTCTTATATAAAATGGATACAGGTACAGTTACAATACTTAACATAATTTATTATTGACTTCTGAAATCACTTTTTATTTGAGCATCAAAGTCCTTTTCTATGTACTCTTACCAATCGGTGTTGAGGAAATGTCGGAGAAGAAAGAACTTAGTTCAATCGTGTTCAATACATGCAATTTTTTGTGAATACAAGTATAATTTCTATAATAAAAATTTATAATAATTTTATACAAAAAGATAAATAAAAAAGTGTATATAAAACATTAAATTATAAACTTAGTTTTTTTATCTTTTTTTTTAATTTATTTTAGTATTTTATCTTTTAAAATATTTATTTTAGTCATTTAATCTTTAAACATAAATCAATTTAATCCTTTTGAATATTTTTTAATTGATTCAAAACTTATAACGTGTTTCATAAGATTCACTCTAACACAATTGGAATTCAAAGCAAATATATTATAAATATGATGCAAAACAAAAATTTTTAAAAATATTTTATATTATTTTCTAGTTATTTAGTGATTATTATTTTACATGATGTTTACTTTGTTTATAACTCTTGGATTCAAACTTCAGCTATATTTCATAATTTTCATATATGTAAATTTAATGCTACAAATTTTATATTTTGAATTAGTCAATAATTATTGCAAAATTATGTTACAAAATTAAAAATAATCATTATTTCAAAGGAATCAATGATTCAAATATAAATGTAAAATAACTAAAATAAACAGTTTAATAAATAAAGAATCAAAGGTATAATTTAGTCAAAAAAATTTAACTTAATTGGTTAAGTAGAATGTGTGAATATTGTAAATTCTTTAATATCAAAGTCTATCCTCATTGGTCTAAATAAATAAATAATTAAACATAAAATAAAATTATTAATTTTATTAGAAGGATAAAAATAATTATTATTAATCAAAAAGTAATATTTTAAAAGGATAAAAAAAATTTAAAAAAAATACATTTTTTACAAGAAAAAATAAATAAAAAATATAGAGATAAAAATTAAAACGCGTCCATTTTAAACAGTTTAAACTTTATTAAAAAGAAATAGTCTCGATCATAATATAATATATAAATAGTTAATTATTTATATATTGTTAATATAAAAAAATTTTATATTAAGAACCAATCATATCTTTTAATAATATTATATTATATATTTATTTAATAAAATAAAATATTATTAAAAAATATAATTGATTCTCAATTTAAAAAACTTTACGGTGAGTAACTCATATAAAAGGATATTAATCAAGTTCCTACTAGTGCAGTCTTGAATAAGAAGCCATCGGATCCCCTGTGATTTGCAAGAGTGGTTAAATTAGTGGGAATTAAACAATGTTGCATTGATCGTCTTCTAGAAGAAGCAGTGAGGGAGTGAATTTTTTTAATCTGCCACCAAAACTTGATTATGATTGACCAGCCAAGAGATATTATATATCACGCCTGCTCTACGCAGCCCCCATGCACACACCACCTTGTGACACCTCCATACATAACGACACGTGCCTGCACTCTCCACATGTACTTCATCAATTGTTGGCCGTTAGATTCCTCGTAGCAAATATGATCAACTCCTCCATGGGACCACTGAAAATGACAATACAATGCATAGACTCGGGTATGAGTACGTGTAGCACCCCAATTTTACCCTGACATTAACCTCGGATTACAGTGTGGTAATTTTCACAAACAGTAAAACCTAGACTACTACTAGTACTGCCACCCACTGTCTCAGCCTGAGCGTAGAATAGAGTACAGAAAGGTGAAAACATTAATTGCCATAAAAAGATTTCATAATTACTACTGCAATATAAAACACTCTCTTCAGACATCCACATGACCCGTCCTTTCTTGCTCTGTCAGTAGTTTGGAGACCTACGCTCAAAGGCCCCCCCTCCCAAACAGACCCTACAAACCCCTTACTGCTTTCTACAACCCTACACTCTCACCGCATACCCTTCACTTCGCCTATAACGTCACTCATCCCCTTAATATCCATTATTTTAGTATTCAATAATTTACATTCTCACTCATTCATTACTCATTATCATATTCGTGACAACAATAAAAAAATATAACTATTTTTCATCCACATCCACAGACTCTATCGAAGAATAAGAATATAATAAATTTAAGTAAAATTTCACATTATTCAATTGAAAAAATAGACATCAGTTTATATACACATAATTATCTTTACCATACTCATTAAACTGTGATCGACTTGATAAATATGATAGAGTTGACAGATGGATCCAAGTTTGAGATTTTATGTCGAAAGTCTTTCTAACGATGAGTCAATGTGAAAGAAGATCTTAACATAAAAAGTTAGGAGACGTGTCCCGTTCACGATAAAAAATATAACTATTTTTCATCCACAAACTCTATGGAAGAATAAAAATATAATAAATTTAAGTAAAATCTCACATTATTCAAATAAAAAAATAGACATCAGTTTATATACACATAATTGTCTCTACCATACTCATTAAACTGTGATCGACTTGATAAATATGATAAAGTTGACAGATGGATCCAAGTTTGAGATTCTATGTCAAAAGTCTTTCTAACGATGAGTCAATGTGAAAAAAGATCTTCTTGATAACATAAAAAGTTAGGAGACGTGTCCCGTTCACGATAAAATGGCAATGTAAGTACTTGAAACTCGACTAAACTCTATATACTACCATCATATATCCTCATGAACCGATAGCTTTCATTGAAAAAGAAGGTAGAATCATGTTCTTTTATTTGAGTGGTAATCCCAATACCTAACATGAAGGGCATAAAGGGAAGTTGCACTTGTTTTCATCTTTGAAATTTTGCGACTCTTGGTTATTATTAATTATTTGAAGAATAAAAAACTAGGTAGAGTCGTTCTTGACGGCACCAAATTCAACCACTAGGGGTAGATTTGATAGAGCTAGGAAAAGCTAGGTGGAGAAGTCACAGGCTCGCTAACAGAGGTTGGTACCTTCCCAAAAGGAAATAACAGAGAGAGAGAGAGATTTGACTGCAAGTGTCATGGAAGAGTCAATAATTTCGACACGCACGTCGCAGTGTTAGGGTTCGACTCTCAACGGCGTTGGTTCGGCATCGAAAAGGTGAT